ACTCTCTTGCTGGATGGGTAATCTCTCTCCGTATTTGTTTTTCTCTCAACCTTGTGATCAGCATCGCTAAGGATGAGAGTGACTTGAAAGGGGATATATCATTGCATTATTTGGGGTACAGCTGTGAGATAATTGACCTTAGGCTCACAGTCACAATGCACAGGGGTGTCTGATGGCAGGGAAGTCAAGGCCTTGCAGTGTATTAATTAATTTTGCCAATACATTTATTTATAATGCGCATACAGTTTCATGAGAAACTCTAGAGAATCCTGTGGTAAAAAAAAAAATCTCTGGAGAAAACCAAAATGCCAAACATTAGGTGTTCCTTTCCTTTCTTTCCTTTGTTTTAATAATTCTGTGGTGGTTTTAATGGATTTGAGACAGTAAAGCAGCAGCTGCCTTTTATTTCTAGCTGCTTTTTGTGAATAATTAAAAAAAAGAAAATTTACATTTTGGAAAAAAAAACCTGTGGGCTTTTTTATTGGTACAAACATTGTATTTAACACTAGGGGTTTTGTACAGTTTTTTGCCTTTTCTACTAGAAAACAATGTAAAGTGATTCACAAATGTGACAAGAAAACAAATTGCCACTATGACCAAATGTAGAATCTGTTCTGCAGTTTAACAGGATTTAATCAACTCAAAGTCGTGATTCTGTTGTAGCAATGCTTTTCTTTACCCTGTTTGAACTGTTCCTTTTTCTTGTTTGATTTGCAAAACAAAATGTCTTTTTAGTGTGAAATTGTGTTGTACTCTGTAGAAAATTATGGATTTTACTTTAGTGGTTAAAAAAGAAGCACATGTTGCTTTTCTGATCACGGAGTTTGTGTAGTGGATTTAAAAATGAAAGTTTTGTTACAAGTTTGGAACGAGCGAGTATGTATTAAGGAATTTTCTTCCTTTTGTGTGTGGTTTCTTTTTGTCCCACTGGGGAACTTAAAGCTGTTTTAATTGCACAGACACACAGACAAGAAGTCATTTTGTATATGCCAAGTGTGGTATCTCCCTTTGTTTATTTGCTATTAAACTGTTTGAGAAGAAATTTCTGTGTCATCCTTGTATTTACTTATATAGAAGAGGAAAATTGGTATCTGGGTATTTGAAGAAAGAGTTGCTTAGTCTAAATATATGAGAAGGTGGAATATATACACCATCTTTTCTGTCACTGTCATGCTACTTCCTCAAACACAAAGGCTCACCTTTTCCCCTCTCTTAATTTAAATTATTTTTCTGAGCATTTCACTTTAGTTTACTTTTTATCCTTGATGTAAATTGGCTGGGTCAGGATCAGTTTCATCGAAGATTTTTCTGGTAGGCTAGTGTATGAAATATAAATATACACATGAGGAATAGTTTATTATACAAAAGTGCTCCATTCAGTTTTCTTTCTGCTAAGTTTATCTTGTTTAAATTACCTTGGGAAAGCAGCCTCATTTTTAAAGCATAAAAATAAACAATATAGATAATCTGATAGATTCTCCTAATTCCTGCAACTGTATTTGCATCTTTAGTTCCCTTGCAACACTTCGACACTTTCTATTATAACTTTATTATAAATATTTATATTGAATATAGATTATAATTACTTGTACTACAAGCAAATCTTAAGGCCTATATTGCAGGATGCATTTATTCAAATCGTTTTTACTTTTTACCTTACCAAATAAAAAAAGCAAAATCCTACAAGATAAGATTGTGTGGTTCAGGCAAAAAATCATTTAAAAGTCAGCTAATTGGCATTCTTCTTTTCTTTAACTTTTACCTTCTAATAAGCTTATTAAAATAGACAAATTTCACATTCCTAATTGGCTCTTAGGGTTGAGCTATATAATGCAAGGGAATAATAAATTCTAAGAGAATTTCCCCCCCCCTCAAAAATAAAACATTGCAATGACAGTTTTACAGTTCTGAATTACACAGGTATCATCAACTGTCTTAGTCCTTCTTTACCGCTACTGATGTTTGACACGGAAAAGGAGCTTCGATTGTCAGCTAACATTACAAACCAGCTTGATATGCAGAAATCTTTTTTTTTAATCACATAGAGGTGAAGTTATTTGATTCCTGCAGGTAAACTGCTCTTCCAATATACACTGCAGAAAAGAAAATACAGCATTATCACTAACATTTGTGCATAAATTAGTTGCCATAAATCTGATTCCCATTCTGTCTCCCAGAATCAGTGTACTTTGTACTGGGACTGTTGTTTCAGAAATTTGGAAGGGTGATTCCAATAAAATGACATGCGTATTCACAGGATTTCCTTGGCTGCCCCAGATACAGACTCTGAGTGACTTGCTATAAAAATAGAGAAACACACAAAGCAGCATTTCAGCATAAAAACCAATAAAGTTAAAATTACAGCAACTACGTAGATACATTGTAGGTGATGGGGGATGCCCAAATGGGGAGGCGGACTTAAGCTGGGGGTTAGACTTGCATTGCCGCACTTCCACTAGAGCAGGGGTCTCCAACCCCTAGTCCGTGGACTAGCACCAGGCTGCAGCATGCCAAAAACCAGACCACAAACAAAGCAGGGTATAGGCAGCATGAAAAACCACGCCCCCCTCTGGTCCACAGAAAAACCTCCATGGAACTGGTCCCTGGTGCCCAAAAGGTTGGGGGGGGGTCGCAATACTAGAGAACCAAGACTGACACCACCACAACCCTCCTAGGCTCTATGGAACCTTATCTATCAGGTCCCAAGAGAAGGCAAGCAACCTGAGGAGATTCCTGTGTAATAGAATGTAACAAAGTAATTAGCTTGAACTCTACATGTGTGGATCTGGCTGCTTGCACCTGACAGGCATTGTATCTAACAACCTACGCTTTCTAAATCTGGCAGAGAAGGATCCCATTCCTCAAAAAAAATTGGCAGTTATCTTATTCTTTCCTTAAAGCTACAGCAACATCCTTTCTCAGTATGGGCAGAATTAAAAAGTACACTGTCACAAAGGTAACAATGATTCAAGCCATAAATCACAGGTATTCGAGATCATCCCCCACATTTTGTACTTGGAAAGCTTTTAATAACTAGTGTCATATCATAGCTGCTACTTTGCCCAAAAAAATTTCATCCAGACAGTTAAATTTTAAAACAATTGTAATTTCCCTATATTTTAAAGGGTAGCTCCAAGTAGAACACATTATAGATATCAAATGTGAACTGATAAGGCTGTGATAGACTGCTATGCAGGTCCCATATTCCACAAGCAAAGGTGGTTGGTGTACCAGATGAAACTCAGTGAAGGTCCTGCTGGCCACGTTGGTACTTGCTTTCAAACAGGAATCATGAATCAGGAGAAACCCAGTGCTCCATCTGATGGAGTTTGACCAAATCTAAAATCAGTGTTGAAACTGACATGAAGCCAGATGACTTCTGGACCTACAGCTATTTATTTTATTTTTTGGGTGGGATTTAAATTGAATCTGTTTCATTCCATTGAGTGTCTCACAGCTTCCATATGCCAGATTAGGATTTCCACTGGGGCTTCTGCTCAACCAAGAAGTAGAGCTGCATAGCTGGCAACAGTTGCCTGTTCTTTCTCTGATATTTCCAATAAAACTCAAAGGAGACTGAGCCAAAACAATGTAAAGCTGTCAATTTCCTTGGCTTCCACAGGTTCAGAAAATGCCAGGTGACTTCACAAGAGATTGCCTCAGCACCTCATTTGTTTCTGCCCATGATGTGTCCCAACTCACACGAGCAATTTTATCCAGAAAATGCCTAGCAAACAAATCACACTGGCTTGTAATCTGCCAGTAGATTGAAAGATGCTGTAAGAATATTACTTTGTTTCATTCTAATCCTTTCCATTCCATATATCAATGTTTGTCATAGCTCCCCTTTTTAAATTTCTGTCTAGTTCCCTTTTCATTTTTTTCCTTTATGCTTCCATGTTTCATATATTCCTATGTTCATTTCTGCACATTCTGTTCCCCAAAGAAACTAGAAATAGCAATGAAGTATCCATAAAGTATCTAGCTTCTCTCAGCCTCTTTCATTCTGAAAATAACGTTCTTTGGGCCCACATTTTCAGAAAGAGCTGATTGCAGTTCAGCCATTGGAATAACTGCTGCCTTAAGCAAAGGGCACACTTTATTTTTCCTTTCACATTATAGAATAAGATACACGACACTAGGATAGGGTTTTAGGATGAGAACTGGCAGGTGACTTGACACAGAACAGCGGAAATACCTTAAGCTAGAATAATGAAAATTGACAAGCAGCAGTTCTTCAGCTGTTCCTCTCCCCCCCCCCCCAATCCTTGGTTGCCAAGAAACAGCCTGCTTTTTTTCTTCTCTTACACACCATTATTTATCTTCATTTATTTATCTCTCTCATAGTCTCCCAAAAGTAGTTTCTTAACTAAAAACCTCCCAGTGGTTTCAACTTTCCTTGTAAAGTAGATAGAACAATCTCCTGGTTGTTTTTGATTGTTGCTTTTTGCATTTTTATCAGACATAGCTTTTTTTAAAAAAAAATTAGATTATTTCCGTTAGAGAGAAAATAAAACGCTGTATATAAAATGTTGTTTCTAGCTCTATCTAGTGACCATCCCACTAGAAATAATTCTAGTGATATTTTTTTTCCTGCTAATTGGTTGAAGAAAAACTTTTTTTTCTTTTAAAACTCTGAAATATCAGCTCCAACTTCCCTTCATTTTGCCTTTGCCACTATACAAGAACTTGTTGAAGAAAGGCTCCATTTGCCCCCTCGGATGCATTTATATAAAGGCAGCATAGAGGCGAGGAGATTGGTTGCTCCTGCCTGCTTTCTGACCTTGGGGGTTACCAAGTCTGACATTCCTGTGAGATCACATGGCAAGGATTGGCGGGCACAGCTGTCCCCAATGGAAGGGAGGGGTTTGGGAGGGGCCATTCCGATTGAATTTCACTCCAGCCACTTAGGCTCTTTCCTGCTTTCCTTGCTGTGCTTTTCTTGCCTTCCACTTTCTTTGTGGCCTGGGTTTTAGAAAGCTCTGATAGGATAGCAGCACAGAGAACGCTATTCTAGAGGTTGCTTTAACATTTGGGTGGGCCCTTCTTTCCCATCTCCAGTTGACATTCCTCCAGGCTGAGCCATCCGAGATTCCGGTGGGCCCTGAGCTTTGGCACCATGAGGTCCATCCTCCTGTTTTAGCACCAACTTCACTGTAATTGTTTCTTTTAGCCCATCTAAACAGTCACTCCGACAGGTCTGCTCTTCTGACAAGTTGGTATATGCGTCTCCAGAGCACGAAGGAGATGGGACAGGACCAGACCAAGCAGCAGATAGAAAAAGGACTCCAATTGTATCAGTCCAGTCAGACAGAAAAAGCCCTTCAAGTCTGGTTGCGGGTTTTGGAAAAGAGCACGGATGCAGCTGGCAGGTTTCGAGTCCTGGGATGCCTCATCACGGCTCACTCGGAGATGGGCAGGTACAAAGATATGTTAAAGGTAAAGCACATTGATTGGCTGCATGTCTTTTTCCTCTTGCTATGTTTACAGAGAGGTTGGTGGGTAGAAAAGTAGAGCTCCATATTACAGTTCAGCCACAATCAAACAGCCAAACGTAGCACTGGTTGGGGTTCTTCTAAAATTGCAGATACCAAAGCCCTGCCAAATTTTTTACCTTTGAAAATTGCCATTCTGCATTTCTGCTTGCAGTCCTAGACATAATGAGCCATTTAAAGATTTCTCCCCTGCAGAATTAAGTATGTTGGGTGTTACAACGTTAGCCATTTGCATGTGTACCTGGCGGGGTTGTGTGGTTTTGCAAAGCTGGGACATGGTATGCTGTGGCTCTTCTTTATTTTGTAGAATTGTCAGCTGTATACAATAACTGTAGATTAAACAGGAGGTGTGTGTGCAGGTGTGTGTGTGTACACAAACACACACACACACGGTTTATACTATGATGCTAGTGAGCTTCCAAATGGCTCATTAGATTTTTCAGCATTATGTATTTGAATGGAACGTTCTCTCTTTTTTCTGTTCAAACTAACTACTTTCACAATGTGGTGGTTGCCATAGAAGCCACCCAGATCACTTTTCAAAGTGAGATACGTGGCATAGAAATCTAATAAATAAATACATTTGCTGAGTTGTTGTTTTCTATTAAATGTTGCTTTGGAAGATCTTAACTTCGAGATATTCTTACTTTTGGGTAAATACTGCGGAAACCTTTCATCATTTTCAATATATATATTGCCTTGAATCCAAAAGTCTTCTTTTTAATTATTTCTGTTTGAGGGGTGAGGAGGAGTTTTACAAAGCAACCCAGAGATCCACAGCTGAGATGAGATGGGAATTACAATTTTCCTATTCTCGATTCATTATCCTGTGGGTGCAACTTTAGATCTTCTGGAAAGTAGGAAAGAGAAACCTGTGGAAAATCTACTGTAGTATTGAGTTAGAACCCCCAACCCCACTGGTGTTGTACAGTGTACAGATTTACAATAGTTCATTTAGTGACCATTTGAAGTTACAATGGCACTGAAAAAAGTAGCTAATGACCATTTTTCACACAACCATTGCAGCATCCCCATGTGGTTGCAGTCTCCTTAGGGTTATGTGGTCTCCTTTTGTGACCTTCTGACAAGCAAATAAATGGGAAAGCCAGATTCACTTAACAACCGTATTACTAACTTTAACAACTGTGGCAAGCAAGGTCGTAAAATGGGGCAAAATACACTTAACAAAGTTAGCAACCAAAATTTTGGACTCAGTTGGGGTCGTAAATCAAGGACTACCTGCATTTGTAGTTTAGAAGCATGCCCACATGTTAACTATAATGTAGTCTTCTATATTGTATTGTACAATTGGGTTGAAAATGGTTTTCGATTAAGGAATCAAGAATGATACGCCTATGGGCTTTCAGTTAAGGTATATTTGTATAAAAGGCTCCCTTGATGAAAATATTTAGGAACAATATTTCTTGCAGATATAGTAGTAACTTGTTTGTAGAGCAGGGTTTAGTATTTAAATCTACATCCAAATGGGATCTATAAGCATTACACAAAAGAGAAAAGTTCAATTACTTGTGGAGAGATTGATTAGAGATTTGTAATGTTAATTCTTCAGTTTACGGGAAGATTTTTTAAACTAACCATGAGAGATCATGATAGAACAAAAGAATAGAGTGTTATTTGAACAGCTGATACCAGATGCTGATTGGATAATAGGAAAAAAACATGTTATTTTACAAGGAAGAAGAGTTTGTCCACCCACTGATATTTTGAGGAGAATTCTAAATTGCAAATTTGTATTATCAAGCTAACTGTCAGGCCAGTATTTAAAACCCTCCACTGTTTTTGTTAATAAGATGTTACAGAAAGCAGGCTGGGGAGAGGAATAAAAACACTTAATGTTGAAGTCAGTAAATCTGCATGTTCATAAAATGTAATGTAAGTTCCATAAATTCACAGTAGTTTGAACCTGATGTGTTCATCTGACTCCTCTCCAGATTGTTAGGATAAAGCCCGTGGATGGTGTTTTTGAAAACACAATATGCAAGTAGATATGATTTCAGTGCATTGAAGGGAACTATATTCAGAGTATCTATACAGCTTTTATAAGGTTTAAATTGGTAACATATTAGTTTGGATAAAATGGTAGGAATCAAAGGGGAAAAAATCAATTGGGGTCTAAAAGGAATTTTTCCAATTATTATAATTTATTTTTATCCTGATTTCTTCCAAAGAGCTCAAGTGAAATTTGTTCTGTGAACTCCATTGCCAATTGAGTATTTCAGTCCATATCTCCACAGTTCTGGTTATAACAGTACTTTCTGTGCTGAATTAGCTCTTTGGTCTATTCTAGCAGAATTCATCACAGATAATTTGCTTAGTAGTGCTGTGCAAAGCATTTTGAATGAGGCCCTTTGCAAAGCACATCCCAAAGAATATGACTAGTTTAACACTTTACACACAGCTATCCTGCTAGTACTCATATGCAAAATGTCTGTTTCAAATGCTTTGCACAGCTCTATTGTTCAGTAGCTGATTTACAGAATATGTTTTGTCTATGGGGTTAAAGGGCTTGTCCAGGCAATTGCCACAAAATAACACTAATTAGAAAAGACATACATAGCAATAGCATTTAGACTTATATACTGCTTCACAGTGCTTTACAGCCATCTCTATGCTGTTTACAGAGTCAGCATATTTCCACCAACAATCTAGGTCCTCATATTGCCAACCCGAGAAGGATGGAAGGCTGAGTCAACCTTGAGTCAGTCAGGATCAAACCCCCAGAGTGAGCAGTGAGTTAGCCTGCAAGTACTCCATTCTAACCATTGCGCCACCACGGCTACATACATGCATGCATGCATGCATACATACATACATACATGATAGCAGTATGTAAATCACTGTAAATCACCCTGAGTCCTAAGATAAGAACAGATCAGCTGACTCTGATATGAAAGGAGGTAAAATTTCATTAGAACACCTATAAGAAAAATTAAACCGTGGTTTGAGCATGCAAATATATAAGGCTTTACTTTAGTCTATAAAGGATATTAGGAAAGAGAAGAAATTGTATTTTCTTCTGTACTGTGCGAATAAGAGCTAAATACCGTGTTTCTCACATAATAAGGCCGGGCCTTATTTTTTTTTGACCCCCGAAAAAACGGCTAGGACGTCTTTTCGGGGGTGACTTAATTTCCCCCCCCCCTTGCATCCTCGGGTGGGCGGGCGGCGACAGCTTGGATGTTCGGGAGACCTTCCGCCACCGTTAATTTCCCTTCTCCCTTGCTGCCGTAGCGTTACAGCAACGCCGCGGCGTTTGGCGCAGCCACGTGCAGCAAGTCAGGGCTCCTCCCTGCAACCGGAGCCCTGAGGAGACATTTGGCTTCAGGCGCTCCTATGGCCGCCTTCCCTTTGCCTTCGATGGTAAAGTGAATTATTTTAAAAACCTCCGCTCATCCTATCAGGGCCGTGCGAGCTGAGCAGAGCCGGGAAAGCAAGCCGCGGGTGTTTCCTGGTTCTGCCCAGCCCGTACGGCTCTGCCGCGGCCCTGGCGGGATGAGCGGAGGTTTTTAAAATAATTCACTTTACCTTCTAAGGCAAAGGGAAGGCGGCCACAGGAGCGCCTGAAGCCAAGTATACCAACAACAAAAGGCAAATCCTCAAGGTGGGCTGGAGGGAGGTGGCTACGTGCCCCCCGGGCTGCTTCAATGCAAGGTCCTGACTTGCAGCATCCTGCCGTTGCCGCCGCATCCTCCCTCTCCGACTGCAAAACTCGTGTGCTTCGCCAAACGCTCCGAGCGAGGCGAGCTCTTTCATACATAGAGAGAGAGGGAAAGACGCCGGCGTGCTCCGAGAGGCTGGCTCTTTTCTCTAGCCGAGGCTGACAGGAAGTGCCTCCAGGGCCGTGGCAGGCAAGCCGCGGGTGTTTCCTGGTTCTCCCCAGCGCGCGCGGCTCTGCCACGGCCCTGGCGGGATGAGCGGAGGGCCCGGCGGGGAGGCACTCGTTGCCTTGGTGACATTTCGGGTGCCTCCGCCGCCTCCTCGCCCATCGCAGGTGGCGGTGGCGGCGGCAAGCGGCGGCGCTTCGCTGAGGGAAAAAGAAGACAGCGCAGCCACCTTGCTTGCTTTCCCACCTGCCCGCCCCAGATGGCCTCAGGAGCGGCGGCAGTGGCAGCAGGCGCGCACACTCCTGCCGGCGAAGGGAGGAGAGGCGAGGAAAGAGAAGGGAGTGCGGCAGCAGCGGCTGTCACAGTATCGTCTCATAGCGGGGCAAGGCTGGCAAGCTGAGGTGGCCGCACCAGAGAGCGTCACTGCCGACCCCGTCGTGAGGATAAAGGAGCGGGATAGAGATTCAGTCAGAATCGGCTAGAGAAAAGGGGTCGGCAGTGACGCTCTCTGGTGCGGTTTTTAAAATAATTCACTTTACCATCGAAGGCAAAGGGAAGGCGGCCATAGGAGCGCCTGAAGCCAAATGTCTCCTCAGGGCTCCGGTTGCAGGGAGGAGCCCTGACTGGCTGCACGTGGCTGCGCCAAACGCCGCGGCGTTGCTGTAACGCTACGGCAGCAAGGGAGAAGGGAAATTAACGGTGGCGGAAGGTCTCCCGATATGAAGTGCTCCACCAACGCAGGCAGCACCATATCCGGGCATGCAACAAAGTACTTCCAAACGGCAAGGCCCCCCCTCCCGCCATTCCCCCCCCCCATTTCGCATGTTTAATATGGGCCTTAATTTGGGGGGAGGGGCTTAATTTGATTTTATGCCAATAAATCATGCTGGGGCTTCCTATTGGTGGAGGCCGTATTGTTGGAGAAACACGGTACTACTTTGGAAATACTGTTCAACATATCTTTTCCTATGATTCCCCTTTGTCTTCAAAATAAACTGTTCATCAGGATTAGAAATGTCTAGAAGAAGGGGAAGGAGCTTCTTCTGAACCTTCTCCATTCAGGACAGCATTTCAGTTTTCTGCCAGAAGTTAATCGAAGACTGGTTTTAAAAGCATCTTATTGCTTATCCTGAGAGACTCCTAAATATCTGGATGCTGTGGATGTAGCTTTGTCTAGTGTGAGTACCAGGCACCTGCAGCCCAGATCCATTTAATCTCTTTCTTGATCATGTGAAGAGAAAGAAATTAATGAAACAAGGACTGGCTCTGTGCAAGACTGTGTGTAAAAATACATCAATACGAAATAAAAGCAACAGATTATTTAATGTAGTATTATTTAGCTTGCTTACACAATTCTCCTTTTATCATTTCTAAACTTCATTTAAGTGAAGAGAAAAACAATCATATTCCTTTTAATTTGTTATTAAAAATCAGATGAACTTTTCCCCAAAACCATCAAAAGCCCATGGAAATAGGTTACCACATTCCTTAGCATTTGACTGCTTTCCTGAGCCACTATTTTGCACCTGGCGCACCATTTGGTGGAGCTTAACTTTACAGCAAAAACAAGGTAAGTTTTGTAGCCCTGAGCCTTGTCTGCCACAGAGTAGATCCAAATTGTCAACTCCAATCTTGATGTGAATAATGTGGTTGGTTCTATTCTGAATTCATTATGGTCGGTGAAACTGTCAGAGCCACCAAAGATGGCAAAATTAGCCAGTTTGATTAGGGAGAGATGAATAATTGCATTTATCAGGGACTGGAAACCCCTTTTGAAGTTTTTGCTGGGGGGAAAATGAATTTATGATTTATGGGTAGCTTATGGAAAGAAGGAAATTATGAAGTAACCTTAGATTAAAAACATAAAATATAAAGGCCTTTATAACTGCTGCCCAAAAGATCAGAAGCCACTTCTTTATAATCTTTTCTTTTTTCTTTTCTATTTTCTTTTACTTATTCACTATTCTTTCTTGTTTCTTTTTTAATGCCTATATTGGTTTTAATCTTGTTAAAAATTTGTCAGTAAAATTACATGAATTCATTATGACTGAAGTTTGGGATTAGATTTGTTGATTCTTAAATGTTATGTGTCCTTTTGCTAAAAGTTTGCAGTCATGCAGATTGACACTGCCCGAGAACTGGAGGATCCTGACTATCTTACTGAGAGCTACCTGAATTTGGCACGGAGCAACGAGAAGCTCTGTGAATTCCCCAAAACCATCTCCTATTGTAAGACCTGCTTGAACATGCGAGGTACAACGTTGGGCCTCCAATTAAATGGTCAAGTCAACCTCAGCATGGGCAATGCCTATCTTGGCCTCAGTGTCTTCCAAAAAGCTCTGGAGTGTTTTGAGAAAGCGCTACGATACGCACACAACAATGATGACAAGATGCTTGAGTGTCGTGTCTGTTGCAGTCTAGGAAATTTCTACACACACCTCAAAGTGAGTATTGCAGAAATGACAAGAGAATGTAGATCAGAAGTTTAAAAAATGCAGATGGAAGAAAAGGAAATGGAGATACTTTTCTAACTGTCTGAAAGATTCTACAGATTGAACCTAGGGTGCAGTGATTTCCACCTGTTTTCTTTCTGTGAACCATAATTTTGTGATGACCATCGCATAAATCAGAGCTCAGGTGCATGGTGTTTGGAGAAACAATGCCATATACGACTCCTCTAAAATGGTATCTCTGGGATGTCAATATTTAAAAAAAAATAATGTTTTGATTAGATAAGGCCTGATACCTTGAAAATTTGTTTAGTTTCAATTATGATTTAAAATCTTGAGACGTTTTGGCTACTAGTTTGGTGCCCACACAAGGTCCTGGATACAACCCTTCATAATCTCCTGCCTTAATGGAACTATTGTTTCAACTCACATATTTAGATAGGAAAAATCTTCCAGAAAAAGTCTGATTGTTGTATCACAGATTGCCATTTTTGTACATGGATATTATTATTAGATGTTGATTAGCTAATGGGAAGACTTAAATAGTCTTTTTCTATACTTTGTCTATCTAATTTTATCATTCTATTTTATTAAAGTGTATTTATTTTTGGATATGAAACAAAAGAACACTGAGAAATCACAGTATATATCAGTAATATTTTTAACTAGTCTAACAATAAACGAAAAAAAGAAGAAAACTTTTCTGATATTTCAAGGATTTAATCACACAATCATCTTCATATTATTATAGCTTAAGATAGAATCACATGAAATTGTTATCTGTGATCATATGCAAATTATTCTATGCTAATGCTTATGGATCCATTTGTGAGAGGAGATTATTTAAGTATTTTAAGTATTTATTTGATTTGTCAATTGCTTACAAGATACAGGTATAAGAATAAATATAGTTTTGAATACATGAGATAGATACTTAAAAGAAAAATAAAAAAAAATAGGACAGGGACGGTAGGCACGATTGGTGCGCTTATGCAATAAATGTATAACTTAATATCTATTACATATTTCTGTATGTAAAACTCGTGGAGGACATTCCTTATTTTGATTACGTTTTGAATAAGAAATCTAAAGCATTTTGTTATTTCTAGGAAAATTCATACCCTCAACATTAACATTGCTTACTTTGGTATAAATTTGGACAAGTTTCCTTACAATAATCATTTTTAAATCTTCTCACTGAACTCAAAACGAAATGTGAGGATTTGCCTTATCTTAACAGAGACTTCAGATAGAGTAGAGTTTTCCTACTTGGTGGAAACTTTCCCTATTGAACTCTCATTATACATTTCAGAATGTGTACATGTATAATGCATATGTGTTTACAGTACTATCATCAGTTCATTTTTTAACCAGAAAAAATATAATTAATGGGGCATTCTTATAATCCAATGAGTTCACCATTCCCAAATGCCATATTGGTGCTTCTTATAAAAGCAGGTTGATACCATGGCTTTTTTCACCGTGATTTTAAAATCAATCAGTCTAGGTTACAAGTTGTCGCAAACATTATTCCTTGGTGGATTTATATCCCATGGCTAACCATAAAAAAATCAAAATCAGTCAAATCAGCTTAATAGATTTCATAACTTTAAACAATCATATTTTTACCATTTCTGCAGCCTTTCTGTAGTTTTCCTCTCAACTTCACTCCTTGCTTCTTCTTCTTTTTCTTCTCTTTTCAAGGACTATGAAAAAGCTCTGTTTTTCCCATGCAAGGCAGCAGAGCTAGTGAATGATTATGGAAAGGGCTGGAGTTTAAAGTACCGAGCAATGAGCCAGTTCTACATGGCTGTAGCCTATCGGAAGCTGGGGCACTTGCCAGATGCTATGGAATGCTGTGAGGTACAAGCACGGCTTCTTGGAGTAGGGTGAAGTCTACTGGGTAAAGTTAAAGGGCTCTCCGGTTTGGGGGAGGGGATATGTCAATTGCATCACTTTCTGAAGAAGGCAGTTTCGACCATATTGACTTAATGCTTTAATCACTGTTTTATTTAGACTATTACAGCAAAGCAATTAGTTTTTGGTCTGTTTTGTTGGCCATACTACTTACTGTACAGCCAACTTGCAGCAACTGCATCCACTGTCAATACAAGTTGGTTTTGGTTATAAAAACCCTGTATGGGGCAAAAAAAATTGAAAGTCACCTTTATCTATAAACATCAGTGCACACCACTATTTTTTAAAAAAATAAGAACCGCAGATTCTTTTCTTTGGTGGAAGAACGTGGCTTTTGAACTGCAAAGGAACCCAATAAAACTCGGAAGCAATGGCAAAGTATTTTGGCTGTTTGAGGAAGGTCCAAGCTGCATAACCTTGAGCCTCAGTGGTGCAGTGGTTAGAATGCAGTACTGCAGGCTACTTTTGCTGATCACCGGCTGCCAGCAGTTGGGCAGTTCGGGTCTCACTGGGTCAAGGTTGACTCAACCTTCCATCCTTCCGAGGTCGGTAAAATGTGGAGCCAGGCTGTTGGGGGCAATATGCTGACTCAGTAAACTGCTTAGAGAGGGCTGTAAAGCATTGTGAAGTGGTATATAAGTCTTAAGTGCCATTGCTTAATGCTATAACCTACTTCTTCCTTCAACCATTTATTTTATTGAAACAATTGGGAGAAGGGATGCTGTCTTCAATGTGGGTTTTGAAGAAGAGAAGGCACCCTTTCCTTCACTCAGACTTCTGTTTCTTAGGTCACAATTTAGAACTTAGTGTGTGACTGAAGTTCAAATTGAGTTCAAATTCTAAAAAATCTTGTCTTACTAGGAGTCCATGAAGATTGCCCTTCAGCATGGAGATCGTCCTTTGCAAGCACAGTGCCTGCTTTGCTTTGCTGATATCCACCGCAGCCGTGCAGATGTTCAGGTATGACCCTCTCCTATCAAAGTGTCTGCCTGAGAGCCGTAGTGCACAGCGACTGACACCTTTTCTTACAACCCAGACAGCTTTTCCCCGCTATGATTCCTCCATGAACATCATGACTGAGATTGGAAACCGTCTGGGACAAGTTCAGGTGCTGCTTGGTGTAGCCAAGTGCTGGCTGATGCAAAAGGACCTCGACAAGGTCAGTAATAGGCTGTAGTAAGAAACTACAGCCTATTAGATTCATTTGAATTTTTATGAGCCACCAAAATGGGCTCTAAAATGCATGAAGTTATCTCCCCCCACCCCCCAGTGGCTCTTTCTATCCATATAGTAACATCCATACCGAGGAAACAAGTGTTCGGCTTGTATTCAAAACTGTTTATCTAATGTACCTTTTGATCTGCAAAATGCAAGACTCTAGTGGTGGTGTGACACACAGTTATCTCTAAGCAAAATGAATAAATGGAGTAGTGCTGGGATTCATCATGGACTGCCTTAACAAATATGATTCACTCATTGTAGTTGAGCATCTAGAAATGATCAGTTGAAAGTTGTTTCCTCATAAGATATGCTGACCCCAGGGGTATACATGCTGTTTCCCTTCTAACTTTGCAGACGACACTAAAAACCATTGCTTTTCAGCAGGCCTTAGGCCCAGAATGAGAACCTGTGGGCTACCCAGCTAGTTTTATGGCTATAGTTGGTTTAATGTGGATGACAAACATTATTAACATTTATTAGAGTTATTAACTATGGCTTGTACACTGCCCGGAGCCTACTGATAGAATATATAAAAATATAAATAGTTACGTATCATTTGGGTACCATGAAATCTTGACTTTTGGCAATTTCATAAACATGGGCAGTTTTCTTGGAAACAAGAACAGTTTTCTTGGAAGTGGTTTGACATTTCTTCTTCCAGGATGTTTTTCAAATCCCTAGGGCCAACTCTCAGGTCTAGGGCTGAGAGTGGCTGACACAAAATGACCCATCTGGTTTCTATTCCTGTGAGAGGATAAGAACTCACAGTCTCCTTGCTCTTAATCCAGTGTCTTTAATTACTACAGCAAACTGGTTCGTTTGTGTGTGTGTGTGTGTGTACGTGTATTTATGTATACATTTTATAAAATATATATACACAAATAGTTTCATAGTATAAATTAAATTATTATAAATTAAAGGGAGTAAATGTTTCCTAGTATTACCTAGACTTCCAGAGATTAGGTTAATGCAGTTTTCCCTATCTTGGCACCCTCTCAGGTACATATCACAAATTCAAGCAACAAGTTCTTCAGAACCACCCACATATTTCAAGACATCATATTACATATCTTGGCGCTTCACCCTCCTCTCCTATAAACACTGAATGGCATGGGGCCTGATTACTTGATGGACTACCTAGCTGTGATAGTCCAATTGTATGGGACAGACAAAAACTAACAGTCCAAATTCCTTTGGTTAAACAATGTTGTATATCAGCACTCAGGAGGCGTGCCTTTTTCGTTGTAGCACTTGCTCCTGAGATCTGCATGGCTCCTGCCCTTCATTATGTTCAAGATGTTTGAAAACCTGACTTTTCCTCCAGGCCTTGGGATTGGATAGTTACCAAGGATTTTATTTGTCTGGTTTTTTTCCTGGATGCACATGACTTACATTCATACTGTTTTATGGTTGTATTATCTTAATATCGTAAGCTGCCCAAAGTCTTATGGGATTGACTCAAATACATATTTGTTCCGTGCTTTCCACAGGCATTAGAAAATACTGAGAGGGCTCATGAGCTGGCAGAGGGAGTAGGAAACAAAGTAAGTTGTCCCATCTGCATTTTTCTACTATATCCATGATAAACTATATGTTCTGTTTAATGTGGGTTTATCTATGTATGTCATAATTCTGCCTAATAACAGACCTCCAAGGTTTTGAAAATGTAATTACATACTCAAATATTATGTTGAATCACTAAGAACCCACTAATATCCTGAGGGAGAGGTAAACAATGATGATCCATATTTGTCCTCCAACCCTTTAGACATTGCTGATGAGGTTCTGTCACTCATCAGAAAAATAGCTCTCCCGTGAGGGTTACATAGCAGAATGGAAAGCTAGCATCAGATGTGGGGCATCTCCTAAAGTAGAATAATTGCAGCTCCTGACTTTTCTGAATGGTAGGGTATTTAATTATGACTTTGGAAAGATGATGTTGGAAAAGACTATATCTTAACCCAAAGATCCTGGAAAAAAATTGAACCTGTGGTTTTTGGGGTATCAGGGATATCCACACAAAAGTTCTTGCACTGAGAAATCCAAGCCCTAAACATTCTATGTTGCTAGCATGGAACTCTTCAGAAGGAGGAATTTTGCAGAATATGCAATTATGTAAATGTGAAAAAAGAAGTGATTGCTGAATGTATAAGATAAAATGCTAAGCAATGAGTGAAATCACCCATTTTCCCCCAAAAGTGCTATATAGCAGTACAAATGAGAATGGTGGGAAGCACAGTTTGGGAAGAGGAGGCAACAGATGGCCAAAGAAAAAAAGGATCTGCCTGAACAGTTGTTGAGCTTCTGCTAAGTAAAATAAAAAGCAACAAAAGAGATGAGAAAAGAACATCACATTTCAAAAGCTTAAAAGGTGCAATGTTTTAGATAATCAGGAACTAGGAATGTGCTGGGCCCATGGAGTGCCTCCTTTCTAATATTCTTTTCCTGTGGTTATTTTCCTCTGTCTTCTCTTTTATGCAGCTTTGTCTGCTGAAGATTCATTGCCTCTGTGAAGGGATCTATCGTACAAAGGGTCAGCAGAGGGAACTCCGTAATCACGTGGTGAAGTTCCACGAATGCGTTGAAGAAATGGAACTCTACTGTGGCATGTGTGGTGAATCCATTGGTGACAGAAACCACCAGCTCCAGGCATTGCCCTGCTCCCATGTCTTCCATTTAAAGTAAGGGGCAAAAGAGGGGAATGCAAACCATGCTGGAACAAGAGAAAACAAAACCCTAAAAACAAAAAAAAAAGAGATGTAATTCCTCCAGAATGAATGAAACAAGGAAATTCTGTATTGGCATTCATGATTTTTAAAAATCCTTGCTACCACTCCATTAAAACAACTCCTTATCTCTGACACTTTTACCCTTGAAGGTGGGATGCTTTCCCCCAAATTGATTTTTAATCTGCTACTTAGATTTCCTTCTCAAGAATGCATCATTTTATCATCTTAACTGGCTTCTTATATCCTTACGATCCAATTTTAATGAGTTCTGACTCTTAGGCATAATATCTGTGTAGTTAGAAATAAATTTTAGCGTGCTGAATCAGGGGAACAAGCTTGAGAGTCAGACTCCCAAAACTCATGACCCCTTGAGCCAAACACAGTTATCAGCTGTGGTTAACAACTTGCCAGCAGCCTTGTTTACACCGCCTATCCAAAAATAGACAAATCAGGTATATATTAAGCATGCAGCAGAATGTTCTAACTTGGTCAGAAGCTGCATTTAATTAGGCATCACAAGTTGTCCAGTCCTGTGTTAGGCAACGTGATTGAATGTGTGTTGCGATTATTCCCTTTTTTTCCTGGTGCTTTCTCATTCAGTCATCTCTGCATTAGAAAATTGAGAGCTATAAAAATAACAAGTTAGAATTGCAGAGATGTTAACAAATGTGCTTTCCATTTCAAATATGCACTTGAAGAAACTTCAGCTGAAAACTAACTTAATACTATTACATACACAAAACATACAATATGTAATATCTGCATATACTACACCATGCTAAAGTATTTATCAAATTTATATAACTGCCTCACAAGAAGCAGCATCCTGCAATAAAGATATAAAACATGTTAAAATAACATTATTTTAAAAAATGGCACACAGGATATTAGATTAGCAAGGGATCCATCTCAAAAACTCACTGGCTTCCTGAAGTACACATACATACACACACACTCATTCACCAAGCACTGGCATTCTTTTTCTTGTGTTACTTGAACACTCGGAATGTGCAGCTTTTTAGAAATATGATCAGCTACATGTAATGAATAGCTTTTAACTTTTCCTCTTCTGGGTGTAGAATCCATGGACATAACAACTGAATTGGGTTGAAAGATAAGGTGAGTGTTCTTCTGTCCAGGTAGTCCTCAACTTATGACTACAATTGAGCCCAAAATTTATGTTGCTAAGTGAGACAGCTGTTCAGTGAGTTTTGTCCCATTTTACAACCTTTCTCGCCACAGTTAAGTGAGCTTTGTTGTTAAGTTAGTAATACGGTTGTTAAGTGATTCTAGCTTCCCCATTGACGTTGTTTGTCAGAAGGTCACCTGATTTCGGGACACTGCAGCCATCATAATTATGAGTCGGTTACCAAGTGTCTGAATTTTGATCACAGGACCGCGGGGATTGTAAGCGTGAAAAACGATCATGTCATTTTTGTCAATGCTGTTGTAACTTCGAACAGTCATTAAATGCATTATTGTAAGTTGAAGACTACCTATATAACAGATCCAATATAGGACAGTTGTTAAGGTGTCAAACTGGAATTTTATTTATTTATTTCAAGTTCTATAGATAAATGACCCTGGACTGCTAACTATCCTAAAATCAATTAAAAACCAACAAGTATCATACGTAGATACATATGTCAAAAAAAAAAGTTGTATCAGGGTGACATAGACTCAAGTTCATTAACTGTGGACTAAATTGGAAGTTTTGGGGTCATTCCTTCTTCAGCAAAATAATAGAGTTGGAAGGGACCTTGGAGGTCTTCTAACCCCTTGTTCAAACAGGAAACCCTATCCCATCGAGAGAGAGCCATGGTGATGTAGTGGTTAGAATGCATTTTTGCAGGTTAATTCTGCCGGCTGCCAGTAGTTCGATTCTTGCCGGCTCAAGGTTGATTCAGTCTTCCAACCTTCCGAGGTCGGTAAAATGAGGACCCAGATTATTGGCATTATGCTGACACTGTAAACCACTTAGAGAGAGGACTATAAAGCACTGTGAAGTGGTATATAAATCTAAGTGCTATTGCTATAGCAAATAAATGGTTGTCCAGTCTCTTCTTCTTAAAAACCTTTAGCATCCACAACTTCTGGAAGCAGCCTCCACTGATTAATTGTTCTAACTGTCAGGAAATTTCTCCTTAGTTCTAGGTTGGTTCTCTCCATCATTCGTTTCCATCCACTGTTTTTTGTCCTGCCATCAAGTATTTTGGAGAATAGTTGATCCCCTCTTCTTTGTGGCAGCCCCTTAGATATTGCTATCATGGCACCCCAGTCCTTTACATTAAACTAGGCAACCCAATTCCAGCCACTGTTCATCATATGTTTTAATCTTTACTCACCTAATCATCTTTATTGCTTTTATTTACATTCTTTCTAGACTCTCAACATCTTTTTTATACTGTGGCAACCAAAACTGGGTGCAATATTTCAGGTGTGGTCTTACAAGGCATTATAAAATGGCATTAACGGCATAGCATACCATGCAGGGCTGTTGTTATGATAAAATAAGGGAGACTTGCAATGTACACTATCATCAATTTCCTAAGAATCTCAGTGTAATATTGTTATTATTACCATTACTCTTTCTGTGGTTGCATGCACTCAACTGATAGAATAGCCCCATTCCTCCTTGCAACCAAAACACAAATACTCATTTTCACTGGCACACTCTCTTTGTAGAAAGTGAATTCAGCCTGCTGCCTACTTTTGCTATCAACTTGCAACATACATGCTGCAAACAAGGCAAAAAAATACCTCATAGAAATGCCACAAATAGAAACACAAATACTTCACTTGTCCACCTCCACTCCATAAATCTCATGAACAAAGCAAGGAAATTCATGTCTTGTCTGGTAACAGTGATGGAACAGAAGTCAATCAGAGCTAGCTTCTCATTAAGAAACATTTTAAAACAGCAGTGTTTTAATGTTTTCAGACTGTGAATGATTGAATCGCATTATTAATGAGTGTATTGATAGGGAAAAACATTTTTTATTATTGCTCTTAAGGAAACTGATAATTAGGCAGACAAGGAAGAATATTGAAGTTCAATACATAGCAGCATCTAGGGCATACTATAGCTCTACTGGAATAAGGGAGGGTCTTGGGCAATGATCAGCTGACTTTTATGCCCTTCAATTGAATTTAGTGAGGGTTCCTAATTCCCATCTGATTACTATTTATAGAAGGCTGGGGTGGGAGTAGAACTGTAGCTTTATTTGTTCATGCTTTGGTAGCTTCACACCTACATTGCAATTATAGTCACATAGTAGATGTCCCCAGGTCCTCTTTCTGTCCCATAATCTCAGCCCAGAAGAGTGCCCATTCAGGTTTCTGCACCTTCCAAACTATTCTCATTATAGCTCATAATGAGTTCCCCATTTGAGCCAGAGCCCAGTTTAACCACGGGTCTTTCTGTTTGGAATTCTTGGATGACAAGTCTGCCAGTATCAGTCTGTCATTACTTCCCTTGCTTGCTCCAGATGTTCTTCTGAACAAGGTCTCCCTCCAGAGTTACAGTGTCCATATTCCAATTTTCAAGGACCTAGTCTTGCGAACTCTCAGATCACCTCCCTCTTCCTCTTCATGAAAGTTTTATCACTTTTAAAGAAGTTTTAAAAACCTTTTTTTTTAAAAAAATTGAGTAGTGAGTTAGCATAGAGCCTGGTTATTTCAGCCTATCTCCTTAGCTTTTGCAATTCCTATTGCAGATTAATACTTGTTTTAATTCAATTATAGATTTATATATACCCAGCGCTATATGTACGGTGGGTAATTTTCATTGATAATCTTTATTTAATGGTTTGGCTTTAAAGTTATAGACTAATTTCATTGGTCTAATATAGACTATTTACATTACAGTAGTAAGAATTTTTGAGAATTGATAATCAGTGTTATCCCCCTAACTGAAATAAATATGTAAAATAAAAGCAAAATATAAATAGACTCTGAATCAACCTCTGAATTGAAAGAATTGCTTCAAACAAAATGCCTAAAATTAATAAGAAATAACCTGTTGAGATTTAACTCTGCTGTATCATGAGAAGTGATGTACATTGGTCAAATAGGTGAAGAAGCACTATAATAATTATGGATAAGACCTAGAAAAGTGTTGATGTATTTATCCTGCTTTTCTTTTCAAATGGAACACTCAGCCTGAGTAAAGGATACACTTGGACAGCCTTTTGTAAACAAAGAGCTGTCAGGGCCTACATTACAAAGAAAATAGCAAATGAACTCATAGATGAGTGTTTTTGGCAGCCAGGGTCTGACAGCTAGGTTAACTTTAGAGTGCACTAAATAGCACTGCAAACATTCAGAAACCAAAATACTTATGTGAACATGTTGCTTTGGCCAGGACAAATAGTGAATGAGCATTTATAAAACACATAGTGTTGCAACATTGTTCAGCCTTCTTCAATAAAGAAAACAGGATCTGCAACAGTTCTGGAAAACAGCAAAATGAAACAACTACCTACTATCTTTAAAATAAAATTTAAATGTGTGGCAAAATGCTCTTAATGTTAATCATTGCCTGTTGAGAAAAATGAAGGAAGGAAGATTAACACCATTTGGAAGTTCTCTGCCTATTTTAATTCTCAAGGAAATGAGTAGCCACCTCACCATGCATTAACAGGTGGATCAAGACATCACCCTAAGGAATGTAAGAGATAAATTGGATATTAAAGTAAATGTATTCAACAACTAGGTTTTCTGTCACCTAAACCAGTTTCTCTTTCTATAAATCTAGTTAAAGAAAATAAGATGAGAATCTTGATTTTGGCTGTAAATGGCTGCAGACTTCAACATTAATTTTGGCAACACATTTTTCCCCCTTGGGGATAGAAGTTAATTTCATGTTGGTGATCTAGACCATGACAACCAAACTAATTCACCAGTGCCATATTTCAACACTATTTACAGAAAATAATGTGTAGATGTTTGTGCTTGTAATACTTTGCAAACTGCAACCCACCCTTTTTCTTGGGATCAGAGAAAACCATTACAGGTACAAATAAAAAGTAGTGCTATTTTTCTTTTCTTTTTCCCTCTCTCCAGAGAAAAATGACTGCCTTGAAAAAGGATTTTTGATCAGTCTCACTATTGTGAGCTGCCCAAAATCTCACAAAATGGATGTTGTAGAAATATTGTAAAATGAATGTCAACTCATAAAACATTTTGTATAAATCCTCTTTAGTTTTGGGAGTGTGGCTCGAGGCTCATGATTTAATTGGAGTAACTGCCGGAACCTTGACAATGAAATTAAATAATAAATTAATCAGGGATGGGGGCCTTGATAAAGGGGAGGAGGCCATTTTCCCTTAAGACCCATTCATTGATATATATATATATATCATTAGAGTGCAATTGAACCCCTTCAAGTCAAATTATGTTTGCATTCTAGCTGGTTCCAGTTATGTGGTGAAAAAATTTAATGCAAGATGAAAATAAATTGGGGATCCAGTGTACTTTGTACTAAGTCTCTTCAAAATTAGAACAAATTATTTATAATTCTAGTCCTATTGCAATCAGAGACTGACATTCATCAGATTTTATTCTGCATTGCAACAGTACATGTTGCTAAGCACAGAAAGCTGTGTTATTCCCAAGTAGCTTGTGAATATATAGTATAGTGGATTGTGGAAGAGAGGACAGAAGGGTTCATTATTGATATAATTATTAATTTTTTAAAAGGTAAGTATCTAAATATCTTTAAGAGACCAAATGTTATAGCAATACTCATACTCAAAGCAAAAAAAGCAGCAGTTAAAATGATATTCATATTATTGGTTCTCTTCTTGAAGTCATTATTGTGAAAAGGAAATGCTTCTCAGTGAAGGAGTTAATTCAAATAATTTCAAATGAGTGAATTCCAATTAAATTATCATTGTTTTAATGATCATTGCTTATTTTAAGCATGTCTTTTAATTATATTTGTTGCATTTCTTTATAAAAACAGAAAGATAAGATAGCCTTAAAATACTAATATTAAGGAATATATTACATTATTCAAAACAATCACTTCAATGAAAAATGCAGGAAATCACAGCAGAAAAAGTCATGACCTTCTCCATCAGGATTTGGAATATAAAACTGAGCATTACTCAGACTTCTGCCTAAGATATTCCCTACTGTCTTTTCCACTGCAGGTGCCTGCAAACTAACGGAACACGAGGTTGCCCCAACTGCCGGCGTTCATCAGTTAAACCAGGGCTTGTGTGATCTGCTAATGAATTGATCACTTAAGAACATTCATCCAGTAGGTGTGAAAAGACAAAGCACTGGAGCAATTATGTCACGTGATCTAGAGATGAAACCCATCATATAGATACAAAATCTCCTGCAGAATTGATGGAAAATGCAGGCCTAGATCTTTGTCGTGACTTTCCACACATCTGAGTTGTGAATCTCTTCCAGGAATTCTATATCACCTCCTTTTTCAAAACTACCTACTACAATAAGCCACCTTTGCTCCTTCAACAACTTGTTAGCTTGACCTTCCACAATCTCAATTTGATTTTGATTTTAATTTTCTGCTTCTTTTGATAGCTTCCTTCAGGGCCAACTCCGACACTCATACTTCACTTCTTTTTATTCATTCCTCATGGGAAGCATACTGATCATGCCTACATAATGCTTCTTGGACTGGCACAGTATTGCTTTCTTGTAGGCATGGTGACAGCTACTCTGTTCCAGACATTGCTTGAAATTACTTCAACTTAACATTCTGACTTATGTTTTTCGTAATTTATATTGGTACCTAACACACGTTAATGCTTTAAAACAACTACTTAGCCATTCATAATATGACGTTTTCCATTGGCAAAGAACATTTCCCAACCTGATGCTCTCCAAATGATTTCTAGAATGTTTGGGTAGCCTGGGAAATCTGGGATTGAAAATCCAAATTGTCTGGAAGGAACCAGATTGGGCAACTAATATGTCAGAGTCAAGAGACTGATGTCCCACCTGCCTCTTAGCAATGTGACTCTTTCAGTATGTCTCTATTTTCAGTGTATAGGATCCTTCAGTTCTTCTGAAAGTATCTGATACATTTAGTTTGCTTATATTCTCACAGAACATTCAATTTTTACATGGGACTGGGGGAACGGGGGACTCTTACAGTGTCCCAGGGAGTGTTTGTTGCCTTGTATTCCTTTCCCGTCATCTTGTAATGTTATATGGGCAGTGATGGAATTGTCAGCAATATATTTATACTTTCTGTAAACGGTTTATACTGGAATAAATAAAACCATAGCCTAGAAGCCAGTGTTTTCTAAAGCTGTAGCTATGTTTTCATCTTTTAGAAACTGCAGAAAAAAAGAAAAAAGATGACTAAGTAATATAGGTATTATTAGTGTCACACTGACCAAAAACACAAATCATAACATCCTGTAAAGAAGTTGTTTTAGGAGAGTGGGAAGAACATTACAATAAATTATAAATGTTTGTTGTGGGAGATATATATATATGAGTGATGGTATGAGTAATCTGAAAGATGGCCCAAAGGCACTAGCAGAGAAAGGTCAAGGATGGATGTTTGTATGCCCATCAAGATAAAGGCAAATTTAGAACCTACAATATTCTAGGGTGCCAGAATAGTTCATAGAATTATATATTGGAGGGATACAAGCAGGATTCAAGAAGGTGGATGTTGGAGGAAGGAGTGTGGGAAATAGTAGGGGCTCAACAGAAGGAAGGAATATAAAGGAAATGAGAAGTATGAAATAAAAGCAGAAGTGAATTGAAGCAACTCTGATATAAACGGTCAAGGATATAAATAGGAGATAGAAAGGTAAAAATTACAGCTTTAGAAGGGAATACAAAATTAAGAGAATAAAAGAGTTAATAAACCATAGATTACTTTACCTAGTTTGATTCAAGCTAAACTGTTGGCCTCATAAATAAAGGTATGGTATCATTTCAGGGATATTAAGATAAAAATAAGAGTATAGAGAAAATCTAGAAATCAAAAATACAAAATTACATATTATAAAGAACAAATGTATGAAAGATAATAAAGTAAAAGCTATGGAATGAGCTATAGACTAATGATTAAAGTGTAGCTGAAAAGGTATAGCTAAAGTTTTACTTGGCAGATACTCATCAATTTGTTGGAAATCCATCCCTACTGTAGCTGAGTTGTGGATGAAGATCTGTCAACATCTATGCCACGTTTACTCAAGCCCAAAACTGCTCTAACAGATATACTCACTTTTCTGATTCTTGATGTCTAACAATATACAATTCTCATTATTGGGAAAGGGGGAGAACATACATCAGCCACTACCTATAAAAAGCTTTGCCTCTTGTCTAATGAGTCGCTGTGTTTGTTTTGCCTAAGTTTGTACCAATCCTAAACTATAACAACCTTAGTAAGGCTCCCCTTATTCATAATAAAGAGAACCTAGTAATTTGCACAAACATTCTAGGATATTTTCTAATTCCATAAACAGGTAGACATCTTGACCATCTTTTTACTGATGCAATGCAGTAGAAAAGCAAGTTATGTATATTCACTGTTAATTCATTAATGGAAAAATGAAAACATAATCCCCAATAGCAAATGCACTGATTTTGTGTTTAAATATTTAACAAAAAGCTGAAAAATACTTTATAAAAACATAGATACCAATCTAGTGTTCTCCAAGTTTATTGGGATAACTACCTGCAAGACAACTAAAAATACAAGCTTTATAAACTTTCACGGAAACATATTTACCCCTCTTATCTGGATTTTCCAGATTTTTGCATGCCTTTGTCACTATATATTATCAGCATCATCTTGTTCCTACCAATATAAAAAGGGAATGTGAGTAAACAAAGTTTGGTGTTTGTTTCATATATCCCATAAAGTCATCAACAGTGTGATATGTCCATGTAACAGGAATCATCTCTTTACATTCAGTATTAGTTGCATCACCTTTAGTTGGAGTAACTGCAACCAGATTCTTCTTATAATTGGTAAATCTTTCTTATGCATGCTTTATTTTACCATCAGCCCAAAACCGAATCATAGAAAAATATTAGTAGCATAAATGACATGGCTCATAGAAAAATTCAGTGGAGGAGACAGTGATTTTAAACAAATTCCTGTAGCTGAGAAAGGAATTGGTACAAATCTGTGCTGTAGAATTCAGAGTCATGAGTCCTATGATGCAGATAGGTGTGGGGGAAGAGTATACCATGGCTGAAAAGCTGAGGAGTTGCAATGCCTACGCTAGGAAAATGCCAAAGAGCACTTGAATCTGTATATACATCTCTGGGGCATGAGATTTAACTTAGGAGATCCTCCTGCTCTCTCTTATTTTGTAGAGAGAGTGATTTGTTATTTCAAAACTGAAGGCAAAGCCCTGGGAAAACTAAGCTGGGTCTGAACTGGAAAGAAATGACAAATATGTGCTGCAAAGCTCTGATACACAGCTGGAATTACCCCACAGAAACTGTTCTACTTGTTTTGCTGCATCTAATATTTGCTGTATCCTTGTATAAGTGCATTTTATAACAGTCTGGATTATATGTTAGGCACGTCCTTGTATTCTCTTCTTTAACATCTTATAATAACCATAATTAGGATGGAGAAATTCTGCTTACCATAGAACCATCTTGTAATCTACTGGGAGCATTAGATTTTTAACGGATTTCTTTTAAAAAAATAATAATTGTACCCGCAGCATAAAAAAAAAACAACCTTCGCATTTTAAAATTAAAAACGTTTTTAGAGTTTGGTTTTTATTTTTTCTCTAGTAAGATTGATCTACCTCACAGGAAGGGAAAATAGCTGAAATATCTTATTACTCTATAGCTTTCTTATAACCTTAACACTATAAAGCCAAGCGATTCCATTAGATGAGTGATTTCATTTTTACCTTTTCATTGGCAGTAAAGCATTGCAGGTGATCAGCCTCCCCCACCCGCCGCCCCCACTTTCTGGTGTTGAAGGAGGAGACGCTGCCTGGACCTAAATGGAGAAACCAGCAAGCCCCTATAGCAAGGAGGCAAAGTTTATTTTACAAAACATTTCTTGCTTTTTGAACACATGCTGCAATAGCTCTCAGTCCGGGCATAAGATACAAGAACCTCTAAGAACGCCAACTTAAATTGAGAGTATGCTTAGTCTTAAAGCAGTATTAAGATGTGGGAACTTCCAACTCTCAGAATTCCCCAGTCAGCCTGTGGGAATCGCTTGCGAAAGAAAAAGGGTTTGAAAAATTGAAACCATGGGTGAAATTTCAGACCAGCACTGAAGGCGCGTTATCACGTCCGAGGGTCCGCTCACGCGGGTAGCGTTTTCTTCCGGGCACCGAGAAAATCGCCCTTATGTGAAACCACGCGCCGACTCTGTATATTTTTTATCTCTATTGACTCAAGGCTCTTGCCCCTGACTAAGATGGCGGCGACTTCGCCGCCGCGGAACTGAGAAAATGCCAACCCTCGGCAAATTTGGACGCAATCACGTGATCAGAACACTACAAACTTGGTAGATTCGACAAGAAGCTCAAAGTTAACTAATTAAATTGAAATGGGCGCCGGAGGCCAGCGTGGTGGCGGCGCTAATAGAAAAAAAAAGTGTTGGTTTTCACGGCAGAGGAGAGGACTCTTATTTTTGTCCAGCGTGTGGTATCTGCTGCCCGGAATTCAAAGGCCAGCTTTGCTCCTGAGGGAGAAAAATGGCGTCGGTTTGGGATGAGGCGGAGGTAAGTAAAGCCGGGGACGGGATTCTTGCCGGGAATGAGGGGCCGGTGGGCAATATTGGTAGCGAGAGCAGTCGCCTTGTGCTGCGGGGGCTTGCAGAGATTCCCTCAGGGAACGGGCCTGGCTGGGAAGATCCGGGATCGGCAGAGCCTGCCTGTTTGCCTTTTGCCATGACTGGCTATTTCTCTCTAGGATGGCATCGGGGAAGAGGTGTTGAAGATGTCCACGGAAGAGATCGTCCAGCGTACCCGCCTGCTGGATAGTGAGATAAAGGTAGGTTTTAGTTGGGGTTTCTCGCCTTGGGAACCTGGGTTTAAAAGTTTATCTTCTTTCCAGGGTGCCTACAAATTGTACTGGGTGCTTTTGCAACTCGGGCCGTCGGAGTGTTTTATATACTTCCCCCTCCCTTGCAAGGCTACACTTAGCAGGGCCTTTCTTTTCTCCTTGTAGGGAGAATTGCCGAAAGTGGAAAAGCAAATGTTTTAAAAACGGGCTGACCCCAAAGCGCTTCCTGGCGCCTCTTTAAAAGCTGGCTTGCTTTGACACTCTACTGTGCTCTCTGGGAAGCATGTTCTCTGAGGAAATCTGGGAGTTTAAAGTCCATCCAAGGGGCTAAAGTTGAGGAAATCTGCCCCAGGGCAAAGCCTCCAGAGAAGGATATTCTGTAACCCTGGTGCTGATTCTTAAGATGGCTTGTTGGAGAGAAAGGATGCTTTCATTGTAGCTTGATCACAGGCAGATTTAGGCTTTTATACACCATAAAGCTGAAAGGAAGTAAGCAACAGCATGTGGTCCAGGTGAGAGAGTGAATGATTCAATCTTATAAATGTTAGAAATAAATGTTAGAAATGACAACTAGGAGATGCCCTGGACCTTCTGGCGTGACGTGAAGGCAGTTTGGGGAGACTTCTCTCTCCAGCTTACCTTTGGAGTGTGGCCCCGGTTACAATTTGACAAGTCGGCACTAGATATTTGTGAGGCCATACCATATTCTCTAGAAATCTGTGTTAGGATTATGGCAGGCCATAATAACTCATAGAGAAAAAAGGGCCACGATGATGATGATAATAACCGGCTGCAAAGTAACAGATGGTGTGCCAATAGATGGCTAGTGGGATGGCAGCAGAGCTGGTGGTGACAGTGAGTTTGGAGGCACTGGGCAGTGTCTTTCCTCAGATTTATTACTTTTTTAAAAAAAATACTGGTAGAGCTACATTTTTAATGCACTATCGGTTGCATAATTATGATGTAATCTATTTAAAAATCAGTCAACACAATTCTAAATTTGTCCACTGATTTAACAGGTATAAAACTTAACTTGGTTCATGGAAAGTTCACCCATTCTGGCATGTTCCCACAAGCTGTATCTCCTGTCTTTAGACAATACTGTACCTGTGTTATGGGTATGAAAATAAAGTGGCCTTTATTATGTAATTCCTTTATCACATGAGTGCATGATAGCCATATCCTGATTCTCATGCAGTTTTCACAAAAGCTTGCTTGCTACACAACCTTTTGTAAAAATAATGGTTGGTTTGGTTTTTCCTCAGAAAATGAATTCCACAAAAACAATTACTTCTGTTAAAACCAAGTTATTTTGTTATTTCATTTTATTTTTGATTTAGTACCTAGCATTTTCCCCATTTTCATTATCTTCCAGATTTGCATGAAATCAAATAATTATTTTTAAAGAATAATTGCTCTGCATTTTCAGATCATGAAGAGTGAAGTATTGAGAGTAACTCATGAGCTACAAGCAATGAAAGACAAGATTAAAGAAAATAGTGAAAAGATCAAAGTGAATAAAACTCTGCCATACCTTGTATCCAATGTCATAGAGGTATGTTTCTTATAGTATAATATATAGCCTATAGCATTTATAAATATAATTTTTGTATGAGTGAATTCCCTGAAGAAAATAGGAAATGGGATATGCAAAATGAGATTGTTATAACTTGGTCCTGCTTAAAAAAGAGTCACTTTTTAATAATCTGACTTGATATTTTTTCTTGGTATAATTTATCAGCTGCAATCCAAAACACTTGTGAAAGGGAATAATGAGTCATTTCAAAGTAAGCATATATAAATCAGTGATTACAATCAAATCAGGAAGCCTGTTTTTTAAAAAAAACTCAGGAAAATGTTGGAAGAAATTGTTCTTGAAATGGGATGATGGGTGATGATAAGTTGCAGATACAAGAGTCAAATTGGTTTCTATCTTACTAATGTGGCTGTTCTTCAGAGAAAGATAAATATAAAAATTGCCTATTTTTATAATATAGATAGGATGTTATATGTGAAGTTGATTCTGTAAACATACCCCTTTCAGGAAGAAACAGGATCATTGCCATAATTTGCTTCTTAGACTACAATAAGTTATCTACTGTCTGATTACACCAACTAAGATTTATAATGATAAGTAGATGATTTTATTACTTTATAGTTTATTTATCCATTTATTTCTGTGGGGCACCTGCTTTCCTCAACAAAAGAAAGCTGTCACTTTTTTTTTGAGAGGTGGGTCTATAACATTTTGAAGACCTTGTAGGAGAATTTCTGCATTAGCACTGACTATCTAGTTCATTTGTCCACTGCTGGGTATGGCAGGAATTCATGTTGTGATAACATTATGTGCTTGACCAATATAACTATGCATCTGATCTTTTTTCATCTTTAGCTGCTGGATGTTGACCCCAATGACCAGGAAGAAGATGGAGCAAATATTGACCTTGATTCACAAAGGAAGGGCAAGTGTGCTGTCATTAAAACCTCTACTCGACAGGTGAAAGCAACATGATAACAAAGTGCTTTTAATTATATAAATATGTGATGCCTTATATTAATAAGATCCAGTTCAATATTGACCATCCCAACTGGCCAGGGCTCTCAACAATGTGTACTACTTGACACCTTTCTCACTAATGATGCTTAGAATTGAATATAATTTCTTGAACATGGAAAAAACCAGTTGAGTGATACTTCTGTACGATTTGATTTGGTGAATCTCATGGTAGTCAAAATTTAATCATCTCCAAGCGGACATCCTCCAGATACACATCCTTCAGCTTTCATATTTCTCAATAATTGGCCATACTTAAGAATTCTAAAGTTATTTATCTAGAGGATGTCCAGTTTGGAGAAGATTAGTCAGGATCGTAGTGTGATCTACTAAGAGTCTACACTTTTCATGTTCCCACTTAAGGATGTATTTAAAATGTATGAATTCAGACATTTTTGAGATTAAAGTTTTAAATTGAAATGTTCTCCTTTTTTGGTTTCTGTCATTTTAAAGTTATATGTTAGATATAGAACATATTTTAACCTCTTTGTGCCTCCTTGCATAAAAAGGCAAAGTTGAAATAAATACTGTACGATAAACTATTTTGTTCTTAACAAGCACCTGCAATTTTAATCCAGGACATCCTACATCTAAAGTGAAAATCACTGCTAGTTACAAAATAAGGTATGCGAACAATTCTAATAATATTTAGGTCAAGGTGAGAACATTTTTGTTGCCTCTTTTTCAACAGACTTACTTTCTACCTGTGATTGGGTTAGTTGATGCTGAAAAATTAAAGCCTGGAGATCTAGTGGTGAGTAGTTACTATGCTGCATAAGAATGAATAACCAAATATACTCTGATTTTAAAAACAAAGCAACTTCATAGATAACCCCACTGTTCCTATGAATTTCACAGTATTTGTAAACTTGCTTATTCCAGTTAAATCTTATGACCGTGCAATATTTATTCAGTCCTTAGTAGGTCTCTCTTACAATGTGGTTGGGAAGTATGCTTCTCAGTAGTTTCAAGTATGGCAGATAAATAAATTCAGATTGCAAACACCTATAGTTCTTTAGCAGAAACAGCCTACTATTTTAATAAAATATAATCTACTTTCTATAAGTCTGAATCTTGGCATATTTAATTTTGGCTGTAATTTAAATTATCATTTTATTTTGTACTATCTACCACTACTGCTTTTTTCTCATCTCAAAGCTGTTTAGTGCCTTAAAATAACAAAAAAAAGCTTATGTCATCTTTCTCATTTTAATAAATTGATACAGTAGTGCTCCTCATATTTAATGTTCTGAAATAATAGCTTTAAGGGCAAATTAAAGATTTCTCAAGCGACTGAGAATAATGTATTCTGCCTCTTTTTTTCCTCCCCTGCTTTTTCATGTTACTATGTAGTGAATTCATTTTGTGTATGATAGTAATAGATTTCTCTCCTCCTCTCAATAACTGCATGAGTAAGGTGTGAAAAAAAATGGAGTGGTAGAATTTTAAAAAAGCATTTTTGTGCATTTCTGCTTGCAGGGAGTGAACAAAGACTCCTACCTGATTTTGGAAACCTTGCCCACAGAGTATGACTCAAGGGTGAAAGCCATGGAAGTGGATGAGAGACCTACAGAACAATACAGTGATATTGGAGGGCTAGATAAACAAATCCAAGAGGTAACGAGAACCTACTCATTCCATTTCTTTGTCTTAATATTTACAGAGCTTGGAAAACATTTTAGGTGCTTTTATAATGTTAATCTGTTCGGTAATCAAGATTACAGAGCCAGTAGGGATTCAGCTGTTAAAAGGTGATTGCATTTACTTTTTGTTTTTACAGCTGGTAGAAGCTATAGTTCTGCCAATGAATCATAAAGAGAAATTTGAAAACCTGGGAATCCAACCTCCTAAAGGGGTGCTCATGTATGGACCTCCAGGAACAGGAAAGACTCTCTTGGCCAGAGCTTGTGCTGCACAGACAAAGGTAAAACTGATGTGCTTGGTGATGGCTTCTCAGAATTTATGGAATGCTTCCGGGGTTTTTTTTAAATTATTAAAGACATTGTACTGACAGTGAACCTATTCCCCTAAATTTTAATTTTATATTTACAGTATTCTGTATTCTTTGATAGATTCCTAATAGATCTGTTGCGGTCTACGAAAATGTATTTTCTGCACTGGTTAACTTTTCTTGGATTTTGGTCTCCAATACTTTAAAATGGCTATAAAGAGACGGAATTTAGAAGACAGGTGCCAAGACAATAAGGAGCCTTAAAATCAAACTTCAGGAGTAGTAGTTGAAGGAACGGTAGACTATTGCTTGAAGAACAGGAGAGTAAAGGGAAACGTGTTAACAGTCCACAAAAAGCATGTGACCCAAAAAATGGGCCTGTTTTCTGTTTGAATTGAGAACAAGACAAGAACCAACTTGAGACTATTAAGTGGAATATATAGTTAGATCTGTTAAGCGATGGAAATATTTCCTTAAAGCAGTGCTAGATTCCCTCCTGCCAGAAATTTTGGGAAATGGATGGCCACCTGTGATTTAGTCATTTCCATATTGACTATGGGGCTGAACCAGAGGTGGTATTCAACAGGTTCTGACCAGTTCTGGGGAACCAGTAGCAGAAATTTTGAGTAGTTCGGAGAACCGGCAAATACCACCTCTGATTGGAGATTTTACAGTATCCTTCCCCTGCCACGCACACCAAGCCACGCCCACAGAACCGGTAGTAAAAAAAATTTTTGAATCCCACCACTGGGCTGAACCAAATTGTTCCAACATTATAGATTGAAAAATATTACCTTTAATATTATTTCTGTTCTTACCTAGCGTTCTACACTAAGGCAGAACATAAGAGTACACATTTTTTATTTCTTGTCTTGTTTTAGGCTACATTCTTGAAACTAGCTGGTCCACAATTGGTGCAGATGTTTATTGGTGACGGAGCCAAGTTGGTCCGGGATGCCTTTGCATTGGCTAAGGAGAAAGCACCTTCTATCATCTTTATCGATGAACTTGATGCCATTGGCACAAAGAGGTAAGAGTTGGATTCTTGGTCTACAAGTTTTGAATAGAGCAGGCATTCTTCATATATCCCAACTATCGCAATGGTGTTTTTTTGGAGACCGTTTGTTAATTAGTATCACCCCCAACTCTTCAAGAATATATACTGTGTACATTTTTTGATCTACAACTAGCATGTGGTAGGGAACAGTTTTCAGAAGATTATATATGCTATCTGCTGGCTACTATAATAGTAAGATCAGGTAATAATTGGGAATTATTTGCTTATGAAATGCAATGTGAGATTTGCAGTAAATTCCAGTGTGAAGTGTACCTACTCAGTACTTAAGACAAGACAATCCGTTCTATTACTGCCAACTTCATTTTTAATCAGTCAATGTTCTGTAGCTTTGAACATGTTCAACTCATTGACATACTTTTGAACTTTTTTCTCACTTAGGTTCTTTCTCTTCAATTTATACCATACTTCTGTAATTCTTCAATTTGCACTCACCTGCTAGTATATACTCTTGTTTGTTTATTAAATCTTCATGCTGCCCATCTCCCCTGTAAGGTGACTCTGGGCAACAGACAAGTTATAAAACAACTAGAAAAATAATTAAAACATTAAAACTACACTTATTAAAATTACAAAAACTATACTAAAATCATAATTACAAGATGGACAAAACTGGAATGAGGTCTTCTTACCCCATCAGCCACCTCCAGTGGTGAGCATTCCCCTCAGGGAGCCCAAATTTGGTTGTACATATATATTTATATATTTCTTTGTATATATATTTCTAAAATGGGTAATAAAAAAGAAATATTTGTTTTTCCCACCAGGTTTGACAGTGAAAAAGCTGGAGATCGTGAAGTACAGAGGACCATGTTGGAATTGCTTAATCAGCTTGATGGGTTTCAACCCAACACACAAGTCAAGGTAACACTTTGCCCGCCGTTAATAAAGGAAGCAGTTCTGTGACCAAATAATATTTGTAAACAGTTATTATAGAGTAGCTTTAGAAATCAGATTGGTGACCAAGCTGAAGTTTTTAAATAGCTTTGAGTCATTATTTTTATAATATTTTATTAGCCTGAAGTGCAGAATGAACAGAGCTAGAATATTAATCTTTGAAGAGTGGGGAGCTTTTGTGAAGTGAAAATATGTATACCATATCATAATTGATCCAGGGGTTACATGAACGCTAAGGACTTCTCACATTTATTACCATAATTTAATAGTTGTAATATATAGAATCTGTCTGCCCAACTACAAAGTATGTCCTTTGTCCAGGTGATTGCTGCAACCAATCGTGTTGATATCCTAGATCCTGCTTTGCTACGCTCAGGACGGTTAGACCGCAAGATTGAATTCCCAATGCCCAATGAAGAGGCCAGAGCCAGGATTATGCAGATCCATTCACGCAAAATGAATGTCAGGTATTAAACAGAAGGGAATGTAATTTGGATGATGTTGGCTGCACTATGAATTATGGAATCATTTTTATTTATAGAGTATGCAATAATTAGTTGCCTCAGAATATGGCATTAACTAAAAACTTACATTTTTCAGGATTTTAGCTATTTTGTGAAAGGCAAGTTTTCTAATCTGTATGACTGTGAAGATAGTACTAAAATATTACAGTAATAAAAACTGAAGTGCCACAACAAAGGTTGAATTTTAGTTTCAGAGGTTAGGTCAGGTCTTCATTTCCTGTTCTTCCCTATTTCTAGGAAAATGAAAATAAGGGCAAATTGGTATGGTTTATGTGGGTTATGTTCAATGTTAAGTCATATCTTTCTCTGAGGTTTTTTTTTAATGAAACTCTGTTCTCTGCAGTCCTGATGTGAATTACGAAGAGCTGGCACGATGCACAGATGATTTCAATGGTGCACAGTGCAAGGCTGTGTGTGTAGAAGCGGTAAGTAGTTTTGGTCAGTTTCCATTGGAAGTCTGGTTTTCCCCCTAACTACTGACCTATGGAGACTTTGTGCCACAAAAGAGTTATCTTTCTTATGTCAGCTATATTGCACTTTTGCTGAATGCTTTTCCTCCCTTTTTTTGGAATAGGGAATGATTGCCCTTAGGCACGGAGCAACAGAACTTACCCATGAAGATTACATGGAAGGAATTTTGGAGGTGCAGGCCAAGAAAAAAGCCAATTTGCAATATTATGCCTGATTTTTGTTCCTAAATTGGATATTAAAGCCTTGATACAAAAAGCTCAAGAGTTGTAACTTTTGCAACTGAGTTCATTGTGTGAACTTTCACTTATGAAAAAAATAAATTAATAAAAAATGTTTCATGCAGGATATTCATGAATATGAAACTTCTTTCATTAATCTCTTTAAACACCAACATGTGTACAACCAATGTTATCTCTTGCTTTTGTGCTTGAATATTTGATACACTTTCACAATTTTTCCTCGGTTGTTAACAACTAGCATTTCAGTTCTTACCTATATGGATTCTGAAGACACCTATATAAAATTTCATCTAAAGACAAAACCTGTAAACCATTTGATATGAAACTATATTTCTTTTTAACTCTGAGGTAAAACTTAGGTTTTTTAAATTTAAATTGAAGGTGAGCAACAAGGAGCCAAAGATTTCTGCAGGGATTGGGAATGTCTCAATTTATAACCTATATATACATATATAGAAGTTAACAGTTCTTGAAGTAGATACCATCTAGAACAAGAGATGTATCTATTCTTGTTACCATAGGACAAAATTTTCTCCTTTGTTATTATCACTGTTTGGCTGTGGCCTGAAAAAACAAATTGATGCCTGATCATCCTCATTGGTAAAAACCAGAATTAATTGGACCTCTTTGATCCCATTTAATATCCTTGTCCAAGGCTGAAACAATAGGAATACACATACATTTGAGGATTTTTAATGTCATTTGCTATGTTAATTTGGTATACATTCATTGATACCTTTGACTGATCTTTTATTTTTATTTATATTTATTTATATTTAATTTATAGTGTGCTGTTAAAGGGTATGCTCTCCCCCCCAGTTGCATTAGTTTTCTAAAAAAAATAACTCTAAATGTCCTCTCTGATGCGATTTGATAACTCATCCTCTTGAATTTGATAGCACTTACTCAGATTTGATGCACAATATACATTCTAACATCTATTGCATTTTTAAAGTAATATCCTGGCATTTTGGAAATATCTGATCCTCTTGATTCTCCCTCTTTCTTGAACAAGTGATCTCATTTTCTTTAGAAAGTTTTTTTTTAATCATCTTTGTTGTAGCTTTATGGGTGCCCTTTCCTATCAGTTCACTTTTTGCCAGGACCTTGGTACTTTCTGTGAAGATGCTTGGTCATCCAGGTTATGGTGCTCCCAAACATGCTTTTCAAAAGGCAAATGGACTTTCTTAGTTTTTTTCTCTTGAAAACAAACCAGAGAAGCAAAATATTTTCAAGGGAAAAAAATCAAAATCCAGTTGCCACTAAGTCTACAATTCCTTCTATGAGTCTATAGAGGTTCTCAATCATCCAGGTCATGGTTGTCCCAAAGGTGCTTTTTCAGGAGGCAATTGGACTTTCTAGTTTTTTCTTTAAAGATGTTTTGCTTCTCATGCAAGAAGTTTCTTCAGCTCTGACAGGATATTGGGGAATGGAATATAAATATAAATAAATAGGAATATAAATCCTTCCATTCCCCACTTTCCTGTCAGAGCTGAAGAAGCTTCTTGGATGAGAAGCGAAATGTCTTCAGAGAAAAAACAGTCCATTTGCCTCCTGAAAAAGCACCTTTGGGATATTCCTTCTATGGTTAACCCTTAAATTGTCTTTTAAGGATATAAAAACACATTTTTGTAATGGTTGGAACATCTGTTTTTATAGATGTTTTTATAGTAGAAGGGTGATTAGCAATAGCACTTAGACCTATATACCAGTTCATAATTCTTTGAAGCCCCTTCTAAGCAGTTTACAGAGTCAGCATATTGCCCCCAACAATCTGGATCCTCACTTTACTGACCTCGAAGGATGGAAGAGTGAGTCAACTTTAAGCCTGTTGGGATTGAACTGCTAGCAGTTGACAGAGTTAGCCTGCAATTTGCATTCTAATCACTGTGCCACCATAGTTCTCTTAGATTAAAGTGCCCATTGAATTTCATTGCCTATCTGAAAATCACTCTATTAGAAAAGCATTAATATGTTCTTTTGTTTGGGGGCATCTTACAAATAACCATTCTATAAGTTTATGTGAAAATGTTGATTTGTCGGAATATATGCTATTATTGATAAGTAGGCTGACAGCTTCCCACTAAATTGCCTCCAATGTATTACAATAAATCATCTGTTCCTGCTTCCCTTCTGTTCACGTGTTATGTTAGGTGTATATGTAATTGATAGACTACAGCTTGCTTACCTGGTCAGATAAATTATATAAAGAGGGGAGGAAAAGTCAACAGCTCCTTATTCTGCTACCAAATTGGTCCTGATTCCAAATGCCTGTTTACCTTGAGATTTGGTTCCCAGGACTGATATTTTTCATCAGATGATGCTTATTCCTGTAGAGATACCAAATAGGATGTAACGGTTTTGTTTTGCAGCTATAACACGTAGAAGAAATCTAAAGCCAGAGAACTGCTCTCCTTTTAACGTAACCAAGCCTTTTAATTTAATGCCTCTTGAAATGTACAACTTCCATTTAAAAATCACACTTGCCATGAATACATTAACTTTAGCACTGAGTAATTAATTACATGCCACTTCAAAATACAATGTAAACAGCCCTTCAACAAAGGGTTCTGTGCAGTCTTTGGGGGAGACAGTAAAGAACTACAATGAGGAAAGACCAGGGCTTCCCTTCAGCACCATTGTTGATGTTCCTGAGTTAGGCTCAGCTTGTTAATCATACTGTGGATCCCTCTCGTGAGTTATGCCTCCTTATGCGTTACAAGAGAAAATGTCAGATTTTTAAGAGTCTCTGTTCCTTTTCCAAAACAAAGTTTCTTCTGTATTCTGGAAGGATTGAAAGTGGACAATAAATCTTAGGTTGCCTTTTAGAGCAGCTACACGATTTGAAGAGTGGGCCTGGCTCCCTTGCTCACTTCACTTGCAATTTTTTTTTTTCCCTTTGCAAATGAACATAGGGTTCAGTCGACAAGATTGTTGCAAGGGAGCAAAGGACCACATCAGATTTGTGCAACCCTTGAACTGGTTCCACAGTTTGGGTGATTACATCATTGCAACTTGCCCCCTTGTGGAAATAATCTTTAATCATCTGAAGGTCTAATACGCACTTTACTCCAGGGTACTTCATGCATATTTGACTTCCAGAACTAACAAGATACAGATACTGAACAGCCTGGATTGAGAATATTTCCCTCTCTTGAATGTTTAAAGCCTTCATCTGGACCAAGGATTTCTGCAGGGTAATTCCAGCATTGGGTCTCTGCTCAAAAGAGAATCAGTTCTGAGGCTGGGCAGAGTTTTTTCCTTGGCTTTCCCTTCTAATTGACCTTCCAGTTCTTGGAAATGAAAACTCCTTGGCATCAAACAGAATTCACACTGGCTTCTGCTCCTAAGAAAAAGCTGATGCCGTTTAAACGATCAACAAGTCGTATAGCACCACAAGCCTATTTAACAGAAAACTGCCTCGTAGAAAAAACAGGACTAAGAATTAACCCAGACGGTTGATGTGAATCAGAAACAGACAGAAGAATCACAGGCTGGCATTCCTCCAGGACTTCGCCAAAGCAATAAAACCCCTTAGTTCCAACCTGGTTTGCAGATCTCAAAATGTCCACACTGTGTTCTGGTAACGGGCAGTGGGCTAATAAGACTCGCTGGTATTCTCCACATCACACAGCTCCATTTTCCTGTCTGGGTTTCTGTACAACAGTCCGAGGGGTATTGAGAGAGGGAGCGAGGGTGCATAAGAATCCGGCCAGCAGCGTCAGTCCCAGGCCGCCCCAAGCGCAGAACATGGACCAGCCATAGCCATGGCTGATGTCCTCTGGTAATCCGTAAACGTAGCGAGGGTAGCGAGACAACTCAAAATTTATCCCTGCCACACATGTGCAAAGGGAAATGATGCAGCATGTCCCTGAAAAGGAGGAGAAGAGAAAGGGGGGGGGACCATAAAAGCAATGTGTAACGTTTTTCCTACCAAAGGCAGAATCAGGCATGTGAAGCTGCCAGTTTTTATCTTTGTCAGCAGCCTAAAAAAATACAGGAATGAAATAACTTTCTTGTACAGGCAGATTCCTGATTTTTCCTCAGGCTCATTACTCTTTGATTCCTGTCCTTTCCTTGGCACACAGCTGTCTTGACTGACTGAGTGTTTTTACTGCTGTTTGGGATTCTTTGATCTTTACATTTTGAATACTTGTCTGCAAGGAGATCCACAGGGTGTAGTCCCAAAAGTCAAAATGGCTGTGACGGCACAGTGGAAACTCACCCGTGTGTGTGTGTGTGGTGCACATGCAGTGGACATTTAAATATAAGGCAGAGCCTCAATCACACTGTTGTGGCCACCATTGACTTTTGGGACCATATTCTGTAGACACCCTGTTTGTCTGAACTCTTCTAGCAACTGTTGTTCCTTTAAAGTCAGACTGCATGTTAATCGGGCCACACAAAAGCTGCACCATGTACTCAGTAAAAGGACTGTAATATTCAGATTTTAGAGAATGGTTCTGGGGATTACTGTAAAAACTTTAACTGAAAAAGACTGAGCATATGACACCACTGCAGTGCTTCTATATTCCCTATAAGTAGCAATTTCATGAAAAGCCACTAACCTCTGTATCATCTAACAATCTAAATGCTAGTAATAGAGGAGGGGAACAGTCTTTGCGGTATGACTGCCTTATTTTGGTAAATAGAAACACTTCTACGTTTCACTAGTTAGTAGTAGTATTTGTTGATATCAGCCCCATGTAGTTTTGGTCAGCTAAAACACCATTGGTTTTTTTATATATATATTCATATGCTTTGATGTTATAAAACTCAGAATGTACTTTATACATAAATGCGCATTTGTGCTAATTTTGAAATTTACAGAAATAGGATTCCTTAGTTACTGCTTTGATCCATGCAATTTTATCCCAACCTGAAAGGCATGTGATCTGTTTCTAATTTTATTATAAAGCAATTGACATAGACCAATTATCTGGTGGTTTAATCATTTTGTTCGTAATTACCAGCCAGATAAATAAATACAGTACTTTTTGCAAGAATGGCCAATCATTGCTTCATTTTTCTATTAAGAGGTTTAATCATCCAATCCTATAAATATGAAAATGGTAGGTAGGTAGGTAGGAAGTTTAGTTT